AGCCAAGACTAAAACGTGTTACAAAATACAAAAATATAAAAAAAATCCAAAACATAGGAAAATATGAAGAAACATTAACAAAAACACATCTAAATCTGGTTGGAAAAATAGTGAAAAAATGGATTTTGAAAAAATCAATTTGAGACAAAGGGTATTTTAAAAATTATACAAAAAGACGGGAAAATATATAAATAAATATTTGTGGCCAAAAACAGTTTTCAATCTTTTTCAAAATGATAAAAAAACATAAAAAATATATATTACTAATAAATTTCCTACTTTTAGAAAAAAAAAAAATTTTAATTTTTTTTTTAAAAAATATTGTATATATTTATTATATTTATCATTATTACAACCTCTACATTTATATTATTACATTTATACCCATTTTTTCAACTTCATAACCATTTCGTCAAGATGCAGTTTTTTTAAAACAATATGGATTTGCCTTTTTCGGGTTTTTAAAAAAAAATAAAAATTTAAAATTTTTTGATTTTTCAAAAACCAAAATTTAATAATTTTTAGATTTTGAAAATCCAAATTTAAGATATCCAGGGCAAGTTCATGAGGCGATTTAAGCCCATGAAAACTGCTCTCTCTCTCTCTGGGGGAATTTGACGCTGTCTATGAATAGAACGCTCTCTCTCTGTTTGATTCTTCTATGGGATTCTTCTATGGATTGACCGTCTCTTAAGCCATACAGGAGTTTTTTTTCTCGTGAAAAGTAAAGTACCATTCTCTCTCTCCATAACTTTATCTCTTTCGTGTTTTTACATAAATGCCTCTTTGTCTCTGTGTTGCACGCAATGGGTGCTTTTTTTCATGACAATGACTACAAGCTCTCTCTCTCTAGACTTCTCCCCACCTTTTTATTTACTCTCTCACTACCCTGCTTCTAGAGAGAATAAACGGCTTTTTCCTTTTCTCTTGCTGCCCCTGGAGTAGAGAGAGAAACTGTTTTTAATCTTCGCTCCTCAGTTTTTCCCTCCTGCATCAAGAACCCAGAGTGAGAAAATGTATATAAACTTGCTCTGGATTCTCTTGTTAAATTAGGATTTCCAAAATCAGAAAATCATTAATTTTTAGTTTTTGAAAAATCGAAAATTCTAAACATTTCGATTTTTGAAAAATAAAATAAAAAAACAGATCTGTTTTTTAAAAAAAAAAAATTGTTACTAAGTTGAAAAAACTGGTACATATGTAATAATAGAAACTTGACGTTAATCCTATAATAACGATAAATATAACAGATATATACGTTATTTTTTCCTTACTTTTAAGATCCCCTTTTCCTTACTTTTAAGATCCCCGAGTTGAACACCCAACTTGGGGATACTCAGGTTCAACTCGAGGATACTCAAGCTCGCCAGGTAGCGAGTCTTGACTTCCCTGAGTAATCAAACACTTGCTAATATTATCTTATCTCGAAATGAAACCGACAGTCTTCCCTAGCGTCAATTTTGTGAACATAATTTTCTAAATCAGATTCTACGATTGAAACCAACTTTCATATAACCTAGAGATCTTTAATTTGGGTTGAACAGCAGTTATACAAACTAGACATATAAGAAAAATGATCACACAGAACCAAAATACAAACCCTAACTTCAGTTTGGACTTCACGATGTCCTCGTTTTTGGCCACCTCCATTTTGGTAAGAACCAAGATACAACTAGGTTCACGTCAGAGTGCCCGGTGCAGCACCAATTGAGTTTCTGATCTGCAAACTTCACAAAAACCATAGCTTCTTTGATTTGAGCTTCGATTTAGAACAAGCCATCAAAAACTCCTAAATATGGATAGTACATACTGGGTAAAACATAGAGTTATAACCTGTTTTTGGTAGACCATGGTGAAGAAACCATCAGAATGTAATCAACTTTTGAAAAGAAAATCTTAAGAAGGGAAATTATCAAATTACCTATAAGTGAACACTTTTATCTCTATTTTTCTTATGTAATTTCAAATACTGATAAAACACACATGGCCATGAGTTAGAATAGTTGCAGAAGGGTAAAATAAAATATTGAATAGTTCATTCCTTTAGGATCTTTTGATAAATTTTCCTCTTAACCAAAAGATCCTCTTCAAATGAAAGATCGTGGTTTCAAAGACGATCATTGTCATGGACAAGTGTTACTAAGGCACACATGTACATCATGTAAGTCACACGTGACCAACACACGCAAATATGAGTGACACCTATCTAGACACTCGCGTACGCGTGTGGGTATGTGTGTGTGTGAGAGAGAGACAAATATCAAGTTGCCTAATTTTATTCAACAACTACCAGATATGAAACAATTGGCTTGACAATTGAATTAAACTCTTCTAAATCATCATTTGCAGAATAAATATAAGAGCAATACTAAGTGAAGCAAACAAGTCAGGCTGTATTGAACTGAAACCAGCTCCTTACAATGTCGTCCTAAGGGACCACACATATTGCGGTGAAATAACAGTTGGTCTCAAGTTCATCATAAAGGTACCATCTTATCATCCTCCTCTTTTTTCTCATTGCCACCTATATTCCTTTTTGCATCATTTTATTAACTACACAGTTATAATTTGCATTAAAGATGCATTTCATCCATTACTCAGT